CGGGCATTTATTTTTTACCCAGGAAAACGTCCTTTTCTTTGTCCTAGACTGGGTCGTTATTCTCTTACCCTGAGACCTCATGAGGTTTATGTTTTATATTAGGTGTTTATTTGACTAGTTCAGCTCCTCTATTACCGTGTATATATATGCACCCAATTTTAATGGTTGGGGAGTAATTTTTTACCCGGGTAATAGTTCTCCATAGTTTACTAATTTGCCGGTATGGTCATTATCCTAACTTGTGACATACATAATATCTTTTTTGTATTAGGTATTGATGTGGCATGATTTCCATTTCGTATTATGGCGTATACATATGCTCCCAATTCTAGCAACCGTGATGTGATTTTTTGATATTAAAATAGACCTCAATTTTGAAGATTGTGACGGGATCGTCATTCTCCCTGTCTGAAACATTACAAAATATCTCATTTGCAATAGGTATTGATTTGACTAGTACTATTTTTTCGTAACTCTGTAATCATATGCACCCATTTGTAATAATCGGGAATTAATATTTTACCCAGGAAATGTCCTTTTTTGTTGACTAAGACTGGGTCGTTATTCTCATAACCTGAGACCTAATAAGGTATATGTTTGCCGTTAGGTGTTGATTAGACTTTTTCAGCTCTTCTATTACCGCGTTTATATATGCACCCATTTGTAATAATCGGGAAGTAATTTTTTACTCACCAAAATAGTCCTCTCTTTTTAACTATAGAGACTGGGTCGTCATTTTCCTAACCTCAGACTTACAAAATATATGTTATATAATAGGTATTGATTTGACTAGTACTATTTTATCGTAACTCTGTATACGTATGCTCCCAATTTTAATAATCGGGAATTAATGTTTTACCCAGGAAAAAGTCCATTTTTGTTGACTAAGACTGGGTGGTTATTCTCATAACCTGAGACCTCATAAGGTATATGTTTTATATAAGTGTTGATTTGACTAGTTCAGCTCCTCTATTACCGCGTATATATATATGCACCCAATTTTAATGGTCGCGGAGTAATTTTTTACTCACCAATATAGTCCTCTATTTTTGACTATAGGGACTGGGTCATCATTTTCCATTCTTAGACTTTACAAAATATATGTTATATAATAGGTATTTATTTGACTATTACTATTTTTCAATAACTCTGTATACGAATGCTCCCAATCTTAATAATCGGGCATTTATTTTTCACCCAGGAAAACGTCCTTTTCTTTGTCCTAGACTGGGTCGTTATTCTCTTACCTTGAGACCTCATAAGGTTTATGTTTTATATTAGGTGTTTATTTGACTAGTTCAGCTCCTCTATTACCGCGTATATATATATGCACCCAATTTTAATAATCGGGAATTAATGTTTTACCCAAGAAAAAGTTCATTATTGTTGACTAAGACTGGGTCGTTATTCTCATAACCTGAGACCTAATAAGGTATATGTTTTCTGTTAGGTGTTGATTTGACTTTTTCAGCTCTTCTATTACCGCGTTTATATATGCACCCATTTGTAATAATCGGGAAGTAATTTTTTACTCACCAAAATAGTCCTCTCTTTTTAACTATAGAGACTGGGTCGTCATTTTCCTAACCTCAGACTTACAAAATATATNTTACCCGGGAAAATAGTTCTCCGTAGTTTACTAATTTGACGGTATGGTCAATATCCTAAAATGTGACATACATAATATCTTTTTTGTATTAGGTATTGATGTGGCATGATTTCCTTATCGTATTATGGCGTATACATATGCTCCCAATTCTAGCAACCGTGATGTGATTTTTTGATATTAAAATAGACCTCAACTTTGAAGATTGTGACGGGATCGTCATTCTCCCTGTCTGAAACATTACAAAATATCTCATTTGCAATAGGTATTGATTTGACTAGTACTATTTTTTCGTAACTCTGTATACGTATGTTCCCAATTTTAATAATCGGGAATATAATGTTTTACCCAGGAAAAAGTCCTTTTTTGTTNCGTTATTCTCATAACCTGAGACCTAATAAGGTATATGTTTGCCGTTAGGTGTTGATTAGACTTTTTCAGCTCTTCTATTACCGCGTTCATATATGCACCCATTTGTAATAATCGGGAAGTAATTTTTTACTCACCAAAATAGTCCTCTCTTTTTAACTATAGAGACTGGGTCGTCATTTTCCTAACCTCAGACTTACAAAATATATGTTATATAATAGGTATTGATTTGACTAGGACTATTTTTCAGTAAATCTGTATACGAATGCTCCCAATCTTAATAATCGGGCATTTATTTTTTACCCAGGAAAACGTCCTTTTCTTTGTCCTAGACTGGGTCGTTATTCTCTTACCCTGAGACCTCATGAGGTTTATGGTTTATATTAGGTGTTTATTTGACTAGTTCAGCTCCTCTATTACCGCGTATATATATATGCACCCAATTTTAATGGTTGGGGAGTAATTTTTTACCCGGGTAATAGTTCTCCATAGTTTACTAATTTGCCGGTATGGTCATTATCCTAACTTGTGACATACATAATATCTTTTTTGTATTAGGTATTGATGTGGCATGATTTCCATTTCGTATTATGGCGTATACGTATGCTCCCAATTCTAGCAAACGTGATGTGATTTTTTGATATTAAAATAGACCTCAATTTTGAAGATTGTGACGGGATCGTCATTCTCCCTGTCTGAAACATTACAAAATATCTCATTTGCAATAGGTATTGATTTGACTAGTACTATTTTTTCGTAACTCTGTATACGTATGTTCCCAATTTTAATAATCGGGAATATAATGTTTTACCCAGGAAAAAGTCCTTTTTTGTTGCCTAAGACTGGGACGTTATTCTCTTAACCTGAGACCATACAAGGTATATGTATCATATTAGGTATTGATTTGACTAGTTCAGTTTTTCTATTACCGTGTATATATGTGCACCCGATTCTAATGGTTGGGGAGTAGTTTTTTACTCAACAAAATAGTCTTCTATTTTTTACTATAGAGACTGGGTCATCATTTTCCCAACCTTAGGCTTACAAAATTTATGTTTTGTAATAGGTAGTAATATTGATCTTACTAGTACTACTTTTCCGTCACTGTGTAAACATATGCATTGAAAGATTGCGTCGTTGTAGTTTTTCTGTTGGTTGTTGTCGGCTGACAGGTCATTTTTTGACTTTAACAAGATATTTGTTACATAGTTGCCTATAAGTGTTGGCTAACTCCGTTAATTTTATTGTTTTTAATATATATTGTACTTATAGGTCCCGACGTTATTATACCTTATATTTAGTATACTTGCTATCATTATTCTAATGGTTTTAATATACATTTCAAAATTTAATGGCACAATGATGTGTGCGGTTGAGAACTATTTGATATTTATTTGTCAACTATAATAATTTATATTATTTTTTATTTATTTATTAGTTTTATATTTATAACTATTTTAATGGTATTTTATGTTAATGTTAATTTCTTGATTACGTTCCTTTCATTTAAATAATGTGTTGAAATAATACCACATTTGCCATATGCGGGTGTTGAGTGAATTTTTAACTTGTATAATCTGAAAACAATGTTTGAAATAAATGTATTGAATTTCCTATTTATGTTATTACACAATTTAATTGATTGCCCTAAATTACTATAATGCATTTACTTTAAAATTAACAAGGTGAGATCACATAATAGGTTTTTTTTTATTTAAGAATTACTGCAAGGAATTACCAAATAAATTCTCCAAGTAATGTTTTACTGACTAGATGACACTAAATAATTTAATAATTTTTTCTCTTTAAACTCTAAATGAATTTCATTACTGTTATAATTAGTTTTTTGATAAATGTTCAAATTATATTTTGTTTTTTATGTTTTTTTAATACATTATATTATTATTGTAATATTTTAAGTACTTTCAATTTATGTATAAATACTAAACTGTTCTGTCACATTTTATACTTTTGTGAATTGGCATAAATTTACGTTAATATTATTATTATTATTATTTTTATTTTTGGGTATCAGCACCAGGTTGATGAAAATTGTTTGCGAACTTATCAACATTTCACTCATTAAAGGCATTATCTCAATTAGCATGTGCAAGTTTAGGAAGTAATCAGTTTCATTTAATTTATTTAAAATTTGTCGCCTTATCTGATAATACAACAATTTAATCAGTTATATCAGAGCAATTTACAAATTGTTGACATTATAAATATAATTGGTTCTTATAAAGTTATTATCAATAAATGTAAAACTGGAATTAGTATTACATTGGCAAAAATCAGTATTGAATCCAGACATTCGACAGGGAAAGCGATAGCACCCCTGGGATTTTGTTTCCTCTACTGTTAAATGTGGGTAAATTAATAATTAATTAAATAATTTAACAAATTTAACTGATTTTAGTAAGAGAGTCGATAAGCAAAAAAAAAAAATGGTCATTACTATAATTTTAGTAATGCCTTTATCCAGAAAAATGTTCTAAATCCAATACAGAGTCCTAATTCAACTATACAATTTAGGTACCTAACCTTATTATTGCCATAATTGTTATGAGAGATATTAATACTAAAGTCTCCTAATGTAAAACTTGTAAATTACAACACTGTTAAAATAGGACAATTCTTTTAAATCATGAGAAGTGATGTTTGCAAAATTATCTAAATTATTAAAAAAAGTATTTTGCATAATATAGGAAATAACATAGTATTAAATTATTATATTATAATAATAAAAAAAAAATTACAGTATTTTCGTGGCAATGTCACCTAATCTTCGAATACGAAGTACCTTGGATTGGTCATCTTTTCGGATAAAGATATTAGCTTCATGTGTTCAAATATATTTATAAAGCTTTTCTCTTGCAGCCTCCTTAGTTTAGTATAATAGATGCCTTCTGACCTTGATTAGATTTTCATTAATATAAATGTACTAGATCAATTTTCGTTAATTTAATTGATAAAAAAAAATCGACTTCTTTTACATTTTGAAACGAAATTAAACTTCATATCTTTAAGACTTAACCATACAAGTATTTTTGAATACTGTCTTTTGTAGAAATTTTGCAGCTTTTTCTACTTGAATAATGACATTAAGTTTGAAACCAATTTCCTCATAAATCTTAGCACAATCTTTATCTTTGAAATTAGGTATTCCAGACATCTTGGCCATCTTTTCGTGCGATTTTTGACGGATATCATCAATTTTTAATTTTAATCGATTTACCTCTTTTGATAAGTTTTTATTAACTTCAGAAATGTTTAATTTCTCTTCTCTTACTTCCTTCATTTCATTTAGGAATTTCAAAACGAGGCTATTGAAGTCATCATATTTTTAACTCATAAAATTAACTGAATCAAATAAATTTTTCAGAGTAACGTTTTGTTTATTTGTTAATACACCTAATTCAAAACCATTTTTACAATCTGAACATATAAACTTAAATTTAATATTTTTTGTCATTTTATGAAATGTTGATTCATTATAACCCTGACAGTAATAATGAAGTGCTTTTTAAACACAGAGTAGTTTAAACAGTCATCTTATATAATGTTTTTGAAACATTTATCACAATTCATGACAGATATTGGATGTTCCTGTTTTAATTAAATAATAAAAGAGCGTTTTTAGCATAGATAATATTATCTATGGTTGTAAGTTCACAATAATCAAATATGTTAAGAAAATATAAATACAGATAAACGATGGGAACGTCTAGTCAATATTATAATATAATATAACATAATATATAGTATAATAGGATAATATAATCCATAGACATATAAACTGATGCGAAACCATGTTCAAGGGTTTGCTGCACGTAGTCGATACCCACCTTTACTCGATTTCAAATTTTAGTCATGGGGAGAAAAAAAAAACGTTCTTTCCTTCTTTTTTCTACCCGAACACCCCTTTTTGCTTATTACATGTTGGCTGAGTAATTTTATTATTTACTCTGAGCACGGCTAAGTTAGATTAATCGACTGTTAATCGAAGACTCCTTATTATTCTGATGAACGCAACATAATGTACATACTATTTACCAATTTTTTTTTTTTTGTTATGATTGGTATAAAAGAGTGTAAGATATAAATTGATATATAAGTTACAAAAATGTAAAACCATGAAATCATTAAGCCGTAAATATTTGTTCATATATCCCTACGTTTTTCCTACGTTTATTCTCGGATTTTTAAACCTATTATGAAAACCACCTAAAAAATCAATGATCTCCATCATGTATCATTGTGCTAACCATGATTGAAACGATTAACCATTGATAACGGAAAAACGATTCTGAGTAAAGTTCTAATTAATAGTGTTGTTTTGTCAACGATGTATATATATACATATATACAATATATATATATATATATATATATTGTCATATAGTAAAATGATTAAAACAATGTGTGTTTTTATTACAACGGCTGTTTCAAAAAGATTTTTTAAAATAATAAAAAAAAATGAATAAAAACAGTTACCAATGGCCACCTTATTTTTCTTTTTCAATCATTTTTAACCCAAAGAACTCGGTTTTCTTTATTACCTAGAGCATTAATAACTACCGCGCATTTTTCGTGAATGGTAAATTAATAGTAATAGTGAGTCATAATGTTGGTAGAACATTCAATCAAAAAGGAACATGTGTTCAAAACCATAGATAATTAATTATCTCTAAGGATAAATATATTATCTATGTTCAGAACACGAGTTGAGGACTCCACTTGATACCATGATACGTAATAAAAATAAGTTGCGATTTTATTTTGCTATGATAACACTAATATAAAATTTTTCACGTTCGATTTATGAACACTGGCACAAAACTCGCGTAATTTCAGTTAAACACTCAGTGCACAATTTTTTGTCTATTCGAATTCGTTACTAATTGGTCAATATTGATTTTGAGGTTAGATCACGATTTTGTAGTAACGTTGTCCAAACTGCCGATAACCATTTTCATTATCGTGTGGTTTAGTGTGATAGTCGCGCTATGATAAAAAGTGGCATAGGTTCCCGCGGGTGGTATCTGAGTGTATGAGTGTACTAGTAGTATACTGGTATTATCTAGGTTCGATCATCGTATTTGTTAATACGGCATATGCATTAGGCTTTCAAACTTCAAAGTAAGAACAGAATTAATTTATTCTGTGGTAATAATACGCAGCTAACTGTGATCATCACTTAATCTACGAACAGCCCACGCCACCGTGAGGTATCCGAAATTAAGTGGCAAGTGGAATCAATTGCGTCACTCTACTACCGAATCAACCTTGTGTCTAAACACCTTTATCAGGGTAAGCTTTTCAATCTTTGTTTTGTTTTGTTTTTTGTTTTTATTAACGAACTACTTGTTAGTTGTCAGTGTGTGTTTATAATTGACGGAATTTGCTGCGACTGGTTCAGTTTATTTGCAAGGTAAAACGTCATTGCGCTTGCGATGAAGACATACGTGACCTTTACTTTGAACTACCACAACCTGCATGCGAATTCCCCGTCAACATTCGACACATGCAGAGCGTACTGTTTGTTTTGATGAACAACTGACACTATCTGGTGAAATGGTATAGTATATTAATAATTAACCGAGATGGATAACATGTAATGTAGAAAAGGAGGTAAATGGTTGAGATGAAAAAAGTACAGAACAACCCTGTCGCGGATTCTACCGCAGAGCCCAGTGAATCGGTGAAAAAACTGTACAAGTGAGTCGTGTTACTTCTGATTATCATTAGATTAAAATATCATACTGTACTTTAACCTGTAACATTGCACAACCTAATACCAAAGCCTTATCTGGGGAATGGTGGTCCGGGGATCCCCCCCACCCCTTGACATTTTCTCCAAATTATTGTTTATTATTTTCTAGATATTAAATGCTAATTAGGTTTGTTACAAAAAAAATATATAATTTAATTTAACCTAAAAATAATTCTAAAATCTATATAAGATCAGTTTTGGGTTGAAGTCTTAATCATGGTATAGAAAAAAAAAATGTGAGTAGGTACTAGATACCCACAAAACCACCGTGTTTGTGTTCATTGTGTTTTTACTTCTAATTCAAATAGATTTTAGCTATTCAATCAACCATTGATTTATTTCCATAATTTTACAGTTTAATTTGTATTTTATTTTATTTTCCTAGATTAATAATGGTTACTATATTTACAATAACACTTAAAAAATAATATAATAATAATTGCTAGGTATTATTCATCTTAAACTGAAATAAAATCAATATGAGACTAAACACCTCTACACATAACTATTTGCATAATACACTCACAAATAATAACATGATTTTGTTAAAATATAATGTAAACAAAGGTACAAAAAATATTTACAGGAGTATCACTGAAGTTTCTCATTTTTTGGATGATCAACGTGGCAGATCATTATCATGCAAAGATTTGTTTACCATTTCTGTTGATACACAAAGAATAAAATTAAAAAATTACTGTGAAAGAATGATGCTTGCTGATCCATTATGCTATGGACGAAAGGCTGAAGACATCATGTGGCGTAAAACTTATCACGATGTTTATTCTACTGCTAAAATTTTACGCAAAGTAAACAAATAGTAAATTTACTAATTTATTACTCAATTAATTACTATGACTATGACTATGAAAAAGCTTTTCATTTATAATAATTGTAGTTAATACATATTTTAATATTGTAGAAACTGTCATGAACAATTTTCTGGTCTTTAGATATACAAATTTGTGAATGTATATTATAGAATAATGCAACAATAAATCATATAAAATCGAAAATGATTTTGAAAAGTTTGCTTAAACATTTTTTAGTTAACATAAATAGAATTCTTAACTACATTAATTTGTGTGGGTTGAATAACAGAAAATCTGATGGATGGTACTTTGAGGAGGTTATTTTTTTGATTTTCTCACCTGTTTTCATAATAAATGGAAAAAAAAAATGAAAATAGGTATAATATTAAACAAATATTATTAAAGAAAATATATAATTTGTAATGGTTATAGATTTGTAATTTTTTTACTATAATCATATATATATATATTAATAAAGTTATTATTATCAAAATTATTAAATTGGTTAATACTCGTAAATAAATATAGTAAAAGAATATATAAATAAAAAAATGTATATGTAAAAATAAATAAATTAATAAATTTGTAATCACGTTTTAAATTTTGACTGTGATACACCTGATAATAAATTTTTAATTCAAAACTGGTCATGTAATACACTTATTATAATACTCCAGGCGACGCATTTATTAATTTATTTATTTATATATATATATATATATATATGTATGTATATTTTTACTATAATCATATACATTTTTATCAAAGTAACACTAGTAATCAAACTATTCATTAAATTATAAGATTCTAGATTACTTTTCACTGAATTCTTTATTTGGTACAATATTCTTGTGAATTCTTATATTATAATAATGTTTATTATTATTGGTAAAAGATAACCTTGGGCTTCCACACAGAGTTCCTCAGTGAGGCCCATTAACCATTTAGTAGTATTAAAATAAACAAAAAATTGTTCGGTTTTCCACATTATTATGAACAATTCTACAAAAATCAAAAAATAACCTCCTAATGCACTAACTAGACACAATTTGTTTAAAAACAAAAAGTATAAAATAAAAAAGCATATATGATAAAACTAAGAAATTCAGTGCTTTATTCATGATATAAAATAACTTTTTCATTTTTGAGAAAGGTAATAAGTCTTGTATATTATGATATGCAATATAGTTATTTAAAATACTGTTATTGTTAATTTATAAAAATAAACCATTCTATTTAATTAATTCAAAACAAAATATTAATAATTTAACTGTTTATTATTTTGTGTAATGTAAATGTTATTAAAAAAATTATTTTAGAGTAATGATTGGAATCATATGGAATTAGCATTGTTAGAAAATCATTTTCAATCAGGCATTGGCTGTTATTATCACTTACTATTTAAATTTCAAGCAGAAATTAAATTTAATAAACTTGAACTGTTTGACTTTTATCTGTTAACCACCGAGGATACAGATAATAATGTAAAAAAGGATCATATAACATTATTAAATAAAAATGATATTGGTATGTAGTATTTTTGTCATATTTTATTTATGCACACGCCAATCCTAATTATAAATGCATTAAACTAAACTCGTTTGGATTTGTATGTTTAATTTCAGTTACTAAAGAAGAAGCTGGCATGAACCAAATAATATATCGCTGTTTAATATGTTTGGGTGATCTATCACGTTATATGTATGAGCTCAACAAATTAGATTTATACTATTCAACAGCTTGTCGTTATTATAAACAAGCATTAAACTATAAACCAGATAATGGACTTCCTCATAATCAAATTGGACGATTAGCGTTATCAAAAAATAAACATTTGGATGCTGTTTACCGTTATGTTCGATGGTAACCTATAAATAATAATATAATAACTATGATTCTATTAATTTATTTTAAACATTTTTAGTGTTTTTAGTTTGGAACCATTTGAAGGAGGAGAAAAAAACTTAATATTAGCCCTGCAAGAAAAATGTAAATCTGTATTTTTGGAAAAACTTTTTTTTATTTTGGATGTGTGGTTCACTGGAAAAGAAAATAATACACAAGAATTAGATAAAGTACATTTATATTGAATTAATGTAGTATATTAATCCAATCATTTAAATATTACATTACAGATATATTCTACAATTATTAGTATGCTGCATAATTCTGATGATTCAAAGAATAAAAATAATTCAGTTGACAATAAAATTGAAACCAATAAAGAAGATAATATTACAACATCTCCAGTTACAGAGGATATAAAAGTGATGCTGACTAATGAAAATTTGTTCAAAATTGTTGTTACCATAATAGCTTGCTTAACTAAGCTACATCAAGCTGGTAATATTACAAATTACTATAAAGTAATACATTTTTATTGAGACTTACCAAATCACTTATTGTAGATTCCAAATAGGTCTTATGAGCTACGTGGGTTTTTTATAATTTTAATATATGTATAGTAGAAATATTTACCAAAACCCAATATAAATAACAAAATTGAATATCGGCATTTCAAAAATTTGAAAACTTTAATAATTATGAGTACACAAATATCATATTATATAACATCAAAAATAAAATAAATAAATATTAAATGTATGAAGAAAAAAAACTTGAAAGTATAAAACTAATTAGAGAAAAAACTAATCAGTTGTGTATATTTACCACCAATTTTGATTTAAAAATCATCAACATTTATTGTCATTTTTACATAGAGAATTAATATTATAAAATTATTAGATATTAAGATATTGTAGAAAGAAATAAGTGGAGATTATTGTTATTTTTTAACTATAAAATGTCCTTTAGCAAAGACAGGTATTTTTTTTTTTTAAATAATCTAAATGTCACCGAAAAGGTTGACAATAAAGTTAGGAAATAAAGACAATTTTTAGTACAGTAAGGAATTTATATCATTGCTGTTATTATTTCAAAATAATTGCTAGTATTGTTATTTTTTATTTAATTTTATTTATTTATTTAACATTATAAAATAAACATAATATAGATTATTTCAATTTTAAAAGTTAAAATATTAATATCTTCTTTAAGCATCAACTTGTCGTGAAGACGTTGAGTTATTATAAATAAGATCAACAATAAATATATTATATACTAAAAATGTTTATTTCATTTAATGTTATAAAGAATAATTAAAAAAAAAAAAGAGTTACAAATATTAATGATAGATAATGAATATTTATATTCATATTATTCAATATTATATTTGCCAAATTTGAGATATTGTCTTTTTTTTTGTTTTTTTTTTTTTTTTTTTTTTTTTTTTTATCTAGATGTATAAAACAGTTACTTAATTTTTATTAGGCTTGGTGTGACCATGTGGTAACAGTATTCTGTCCTCGTAAGCAAAAATGCCATAAGTCCAAAAAAATTAAAAATTGACTTATATACATCAACAAAATTGTAAAATTCAGACCTCTTAGGTTAACATGCTAATATAAAAAGTTGGATAAGTATTTTAAAATGTACCATTCATATTTATTTATATTCCATTGCATTTATCTGGTAATATCACATATGAAAATCCTATCATACTTTAATAATTAAAATGTAAAACGTATTATAAATTTTAGAAAAGCAAATTATAAAAACCCATTTTTCTCAAAATCGTTCTCTAGTGACTTACGGCGTTTTTACTTATTATAACAGTATTGTAGTTGGGTTTGAATATCTACTATTTTAAAACTAGGTTTTACATTTCTATAATATTTCATATTGTTGATAAGAATCCGCTGTTTATTCTGGTGCATAAATATTAATATTATATTAATTTTTTGGCAATAACTTTACTATTAAAGTTTAGTTAGTACTTTGGTAGTGAAAATTATTTTGATGAACATGAAAATTAATTTTGATTGTTTCGCTAGTTTTCATAAAAAATAAATGAGTGCATAATAAATTGCCTAACAGTTATGTTTTATATGCATATCTTTTATAACTACTACAATAACATTTATTTGAAAAATAATTTAATATTTATTCAAAAATAATATTAAGTAGTAAATGTTCTTGGTGTTACCATATGGTAACGAGGACTAATTTAAAAAACTAGATTAAAAAAAATATGTATAGATAATTAATGGATTTAATTTTTGATGTTTGATATTCAGTTATTAATATTTAAAATAATGTCGAAATAATTGTTTATTACTTTATTAGTTACCAATTTCTCATTTTGTATTTAAATATTTTAATTTAGGTATAATGATATTAAATAAATGATGTTAAGTATAAACAATGTTTACGTATTGTTTAAACAATTATGGGTTCTTCATATTTAACAAACAAATTTATAATATTTGCTAGGTCGATTTTATTTGGTAGTCTAAAATAAATATAAATAGTAGTGATTAGTGAGTGATGATGTTGGTAAAATCTGTCCTAATGACTTAAAAAAATGTATTTTTATTTATATTTTAATGGTTCTCCTTGTAGAAGGAAGGGGTTCTATCAAAATGTTAAAAAGGTAAAAAAATATAATACTTATCAATAATATTAATAATTAATTAAATACAATTTTAGTACGTAATAATAATATTAATAGGTATAATTATTTGTCTTAATTTTGGGCTTAGAAGTAGTAAAAATGGCAATGACAAGTGACCAAAAATCAATGTAAACATCGTATAATAATTATAATTAAAATTAAAAAATTAAATCATAATAAAAAAATGTATATTTTTCTACTCTATTATACTGTTTGCATTGCCAACATAGTGTAATTGTTAAGTTGTTAATTTTGTACAAAAGAACGGTGACTTTGATAAGGACATGAAACATAAGATTAAGTGTATTTGGATAAAATGGAGAAAAGTGTCTGGTGTTTCATGTGATAAGATTATTATAATGAGACTTGAAGGGGTAAATATTACAAAAGTGTGGCAAGAATAACTATATTGTATGGTTCAGAGTGTAGAGTAACAGACAGAAACATAGAAAGATTGAATGCATCAATGATGAAAATTCTTAGGTGTATGAGTAAAGTGATAAAAGAAAATAGGATAAGGAATGAGTACATATGAGATAGTTTAGGTGTGACTTTGATAGTACAACAAATTAGAGTAAATAGACTAAAATGGTTTGGGCATGCCATGAAGAGAAAGAAATCAGAAGCAGTAAGAATGGTAATGAAAATAAATGTAAAAAGAAAAAGAGTTAGAGATCGAAACAGAAGCGGTTTGAAGCAATTTAAAATGATATAAAGCCAATGAGTGTATGTGAGGTGAGCGTTGTTTCAGTTAAGTAGAAGTTTAGGAAGAGTGTGGCTGACCTCAAATAGTTAGGGTGAAGAAAAAGAAGATTTATAATTTAATAAGTAAATTTTTATATGACTTATAAAATAGACAAAATAATTTATTAAACAAAATGGATTTATTTGTATATCAACTGTATTTTTCCAGATACTAAGAATATCCCAAAAGCAGAATTATTTCTTTTAACATTTATGGAGTATTTTATTGGTCAAAGTGTAACTTACTGTGTAAACAAATTGCCACAGTTGGTTAACCCAAACATAGATCATGTAAAACTAACCCGTCAACGTCGCAGACGCGGTTTTAGAAAACATTCTTCTCCAGATTCTCAAGAATGGAGTGAAGGAGGTTGGTATTTAACAATTTAAACACTATCAAAACTTTTAAAAAATAATATCTACAATGCAATTTATTTAAAAAATATGTTATTTTTAAAATTACCAAAAAATTGTTAGTAATAAATATTAAATATAATATATAAAATTCACCTAAAAAAGAACACGTGAGCAGCTGAGCTCCAACTGAAAATTTTTCCCCCAGTTGTCTTTTTTGCATTACTTAATTTGTGCAATTTATAGTTGTATTGAAAATCAAATATTTTCTTTACAAACATGATTTTATTTCAGAATAAAAATGCCAGGGGGCAGGACTTTGGTGTTTAACATTTTTACAATTTATTTAACATCAAAAAATTTAAATAGTAAAAACAAAACTATTAAAATGTTTAATATTCGTAAACAAATACAGTAAATAAATAAATGAATGAATGCGTTGAATTATGATAAGTGTATTATACGAAATGTGTTTTGACTTAAAAATTCATCATCGGGTATATTACAGTCAAAATTTAAAATAAGACTGAATATAAAAAATTAAATGAAGGAATACATGTAACAAATTATACAAATTGGTCACTTTACATAGAAATAATTTATTATTAAAATTATTTTTCTTTGTTTAATTGTACATATGTAATAGTTCAAAAACTGAATTAATGTAAATGTTATTTTGAGTATTTAATATCTCTGAGTCTGTATTAATCTAAGAGATTATTTAAAATGGGTTATTATTAGACATAAATATGTTCAGAAACATTAATTATTTGGTTATTATTTATTATCTAAAATGTATTGATATAAGATATTATTTTTAAAATCGGTTTGAACATTTAAAATATTAAAATTATTTTTCTTTATCTCATTGTATATATGTTATGGTTCTAAAACTGAATTAATGTAATTCTTATTTTAGGTATTTAATATCTCTAATTCTGTATTAACATCAAAGCCTATATTATGGTTATTTTCTAAAATATGTTTAGTGAATTTTGAATTAGGGGTAGTCTTTTAATTTTCTAAACATGTTTTAGAAAATAACCATAATATAGGCCTTGTTATAAATACAGACTTGGATATATTAAATACCCAAAATAACATTTACATAAATTTAGTTTTAGAACCATGACATATATACAATGAAATAAAGAAAAATAATTTGAATAATAAATTATTTCTATGTGAAACAACCAATTTGTAGAATTTTTTTCTTTGTATTCCTTCATTTAATTTTTATATTCAGTCGTGTTTTAAATTTTGACTGATATACCTGATGATGAATTTTTACTTCGAAAAATGTTGTATAATACACTTATAATAATACTCCTGGCAATGCATTCATTAATTTATTTACTTCTTATTTTTATACATATTTATTTATTATATTTAAAAAATATAATGTTTATACCTACTCCATGTAAGCAATACTTGTAGTGGGAGTAGGGAGCCTTACTTTACTTTAAAAATAAAAATAATATTAATAGTACATATGTAAATAACACAATAATAATTAATATAATATAATATTAAAAAATAACATAATTATCTTTTTTGATCTATTAGAAAGATTAAATTCGAAAATATTTAGAAATATATTTTATCTTATGATTTTTTTTAAGCTTACATAATAATAGTTCATGGAAAATTAAATCAAATGCCTTAGCAATATCTAAGAAAATATCTACACATTTTTTACTGTTATCAAATGAATGATAAATTAAGTTTGCACACCGCGCAATTGTATCCTTACTACCAGTATGCTCACGAAATCCAAATTGCATATTGTTTACGGCACTTTTATTTATAATAAATTTATTTAGTAATGAATTTTGCCAGTTTTTCGATTACTTTTGATATTGCAGAAATCAAAAAAATTGGACTGTAGTTTGTTTCCTTGGATCACCTATTTTTAAATTGGGGAAATTATTGTTTTTTATATATATTAAGGAAAATACCATTTTTAAACTTATATTAACTAAATATAAGTCACTGGTTTTATTATAACTCTGTTATTTGTAATAATAAATTGGATGAAATATTATCAAATCCTTGATGTACCTTTTCTTAATATTTTTATTAAATTTATTCCTTCATATTCAGTTAAATATTTGTATAATTGCTAAATAATTATAAATTATATATATTATATTGACTGTAATGGATTTTGGATTTTAATGCAGTTCCCTTTTCCGACTCCCGCAACACCCCTGGGAGCTGCGACACTCAATTGAATACCTCTGCCCTAACTTCATTTAGGAAGAAGATCTATAGGAATATCCAAAGCCTAAAAAACATCCACAACAACTTGTATTAAAATTTAACCTAAGATTATTTTTGATGCACCAGAATTACTATAATTCCCTAGTTAACTCAGTAACTCTGAAAAAATTTTTAAAAAATTGAGTAACATATTTGTTTTTTTATTTATGGCCAATTTCAATTTTAAAAATTATATTCCTTGTATTCCTTGATTTATTGTTATTGTAAACACAATTTCTTTAATTCAAATTTGTAATATTTTATTAAAAATACTATAATGATTATAAATAATAATTAGATGAAGCTGAAAGTGTTATTATAAGTCCTGATGATGAATCTGATGATGATGGAAGTGAAGAAGAAATGTTAATATTTGATATAAAAGGACCTAATGATAACAAATCAAAAGATGGTATATAATTCAAATACTTGTACAACTGTATACCTAGGTACTAAGTTTATTAATAATACATTTTTTTCAGAATCAGACGGGTCAAACGATAGTGGTACATCTTCTTTTGGTTCTGAAAATAAAAGACCTAAATCTCGTTTATCAAACATACCATTTGTTGAAACCATAATGGTAAAACATTTTGTTTGGTTTTGAAATCCAAGATTAAAATTTATTCTGTTTATTATTATGTTTCAGATATATATTGATTGGGTTAAACAGAATAAAGATTCAATCAATCCAGTAGAATCAGTTGGATTATTTAACAATGTTGTTATATTGTTAAATTATTTATCACAAGCTAATATTGAAGATAAACTTTTAGGATTATCCACAAACCGTGTAATACTACCAGAAGAAATACATTTGCGTGGGATGACGATTTTTCCTGAATCTAAAAATGTTTGTAAAGATTTGGAAGTAAATACTTCTATTAGAAATGAGGTAAAAATTATTTTTTAAATTATCATTTGATAATTAAATACAATTATTGATTTTATAAAGTAAATTACTGTATTTAAATAATAAATAAATACATAATATTTTGTCTGCGAGTTTAAATTGGTTATATGTTTTTATTTTAAGCTAATAACATGGGACTAGATTAAGTTATGCTAACGTTTAATATACTATTGATAGATTTTTTTTGCATAACTATTATTAATTACCTATTAATGTATTATACTATGCAGTAACTAATAATGTAGTATACATTAAAAAGTCAATTATTATTATGTAGTTTAATGTAAATGAAACACCGTATTAAAATCAAGAATAATTTTTTCATTGTAAAAATTCATTCTAAATTAATATCTTTTGAGAATCCCTGTTATATTTAATTTTTTTGGTATAATATACTTATTAGGAATAAATGTATGATTTGGCACATATCAAAATCTAATCCAAGTGTACATATCACTGTAAATAGAATGTATAGCTTTTGACTTAACAAAAATATAAGAAAAATATATTCCTAATATTACTCTGTGTTTGAATAATAATTTTTAATATGATATAATAATCTGTATGAAAACATTTTATACTTTTTTTCTACCTACTTAAAATTTTTGTTAAACCGACTTGCATTATATTTATTCTATTATTATAATTATTATTAGTTTTTACATTTAAAGGTTATTTTTTTTATTATTTTATAGGATATGGTTCGTCTAGCATACATATTGCACACTGCCCAAGAAATTGCCTCTAATAGCTCATTGTTCACTTATGATAAAATCAAAAAATGGTTTTCAATTAGTAATACTTCAAAACAAGTAAGTTCCAAAATAATAAATAGTCATCCGATTATATAGGTTACTAATTAAATTATTTGTTAATCCCAAGCTGCCATACAGTTGAAATAATATGTAAATGTAAGATATAAATAATACTAGTTTTTTTTTAATTGTTTGTCAAAATTATATACAGTTATAAAAATATTATGAAGAAAAAAATAACTCAAGCATTTATGAGAATTATTCGAAAAAATTTGCTCATTGACTTTCGATACACAAGGTGTCGTTTGTACACAACACCTAAACTTTTCGGTTAGTTAACAGCATAATAGTGTAGAATATTATTAATTATTATAATTTAACCGTGAAACCATAAATTCATAGGTCTCATCGTCACAATCCACATTAACATCTTCATAAAGTCTACTAAAAACCATAATTATAATTTTGTAAATTTGTATATCACAGTGCATGACTTTTTGACACAGAAATGGTTATTTATGTAATTGGTCTAGTTAATTTGAACTACTTTTAAAAATTGTTTATGCAACCTTAATTTCTAGATTTGGGTTACAAAAACAATTTGTTAAAAAAAAAAAAACTGATTTTACAAAGTAAAAACACAGACATTAAATTAATCAACATCACTATATAGTGGTAATAAAAGTGTGTGTGAAAAGTTAAATTAACCATGTACACACGGCTGGAAAGCGTATCCACTGTTCCAAGCATATCTGCGATTCAGAGGAGGGCAGAAGGAGAGGAAACGTGTCCACCTTTCTTCGGACTTTTTCGGATCTATACAGTTTATGAAAAAGAGTAGCAAAGGGATTTTGTTCAGGGATTTTTTTTTTCTGTTCGCTTCCCTTCCTACCCTCTGAGAAATACCGACATTAACTGCGACAAACGAAAGCTCGAGATTGGAATAGCAAAGTCTGTCTTTTGTAAATATTCATGAGACTGTGTATAGAAGATGAAAAAAAAAATTATACATATATATATATATATATGTATATGTATATAAAAAAAAAAACAAGAAAACAAACCTGCCCCCTTTTCACAGGGTATATTGAGTAAAAATCCACCCCTAACCGTTATGCAGCGACACAATAAAGCAGTTCGAAGATGTTGAAAGCGGATCTCGCCAATAACGATTCCGACGGCGTATATAGTCGCGGGTTTATATTCTAAATCCCCTATATACTTACTTTCTCTCCTTTCTTCTCTCCTCTCTCGTGCTCCCGCGTTCGGTTTCCCTTATCCCTCCTTTCGTTCTTTCTTTCCCTTTTTCTCTACACGATCTTTGTGCCACGCGGCTACAAAGTGATCCGGAAGAGACGTGTCACCCTCGCGGCGGCCAGAGGAGCCGTCAAAGTTTTTATGACCGTCGACCCGCACGCCCCCTCCCCCCACCACTTCCCCTATATACACGGTTGGCTTGTCGTGAGGACACACGACTGCGTATAAGTAATAGCCGCCGTCGTACGAAGCCCTCATTTCTACTACTCCTTGCCCCCCCTCCCCTATCACAAATATTTCTGCTCCTTACGCGCGTTTTACGGGTTTATTTATCGCGTCCTTCTAAAACTCTTATTAACATTGTCTCGCGCACCAAACGGCCCGGCCCGCCGCGGCCGGGTTGTTAAATCTTTTCATTATTTGAACTTCTCTCTCTCTCTCTCTCTCTCTCTCTGTTTCAGCCTTTCGCGTGCCGTTCTTTTTGTGCGATCGGAATTAATTGCGCGGAGACGCGTTCAAAACCCAAACTTACATTTTGATCGCTGATCGTACATACTCGGTCAGTCGATTAACCGCGTTATAATTATTATTATTATTATATTTTTTTAACCAAATCACGCTAATAAATCGTTAAAACGTTAACAATCTATCGCGCGCATTTGAGAGCGACCGCATTTTCGACCTTTGTGCCGCTGTAAATCTATTTATCATTTAAGGAAATAAACGGCGATTTCAATTTCGCAGAGCGTCTGAACCCCCTCTCAGCCTCCCCAAGACAAAATCTAATAATTGAATATTATGTACGAATTAAAAAAATCAATCTGTCTCAGCATAACGGGTGCAGCCACTGTTGTAGGTAATTTAATGTATATATATCTTTAAGCAACGATTAACCATTGCCAACGAAAAAAACGATTCTGAGCGGAGTTCGGTTGACGGTGTTGCTTTTTCAACATTATACATGCCATATTAATTAATATGTATTTTCTTTAATAATGTTTTTTAAATATTTTCCCGGTTTTCCTATGTCTTTCCCATTTATTGGGGAAACTCGTGGTGAATTCGAAAAATTACCTACCCAAAGCACCACCCCAGTCTGATTTCCTTTCCGAAAAAGTGCTACACTTGTAAATCGGAGCAAGACTTCTGATAGTAAAATTGTTCACAGGTCATATTGTACGACATTATTTGTAAAACCGATACATATTACTCGCTCCGTTCAGAATCTGCGTAAAAGTAAATACCCGCGGATTTCGATAAAATAATATTCTCAAGCGACTATTGTTATTGTACGCTGCGTGTGTATCACGTGTCAGGTACGTCGAACGCGAATAAATCCTTGTTAGAAAAAAACTAACGATAATAAATCGGAAAAACGTACGCCACCGCGTTTTTATGTAACGTGTCAACGCGTTTACGACGAAAACGTCCGGTAAACGGAACGCGAAACATGATAATAGCACCGTGTGTTGTGTTGCGTTTGTTTATTCGTCGCCTGTTGTACGTTTCGACGGAATTTACCCCCGGCCGGACCCCGCGGGGCGCGTAAAAGAATCGCGAGAATTCCGCGCGTCTCCGTTTAGCGTGTGCCGGTATAATGGTTCCGGGATGGGCGGCGGCGGGACGATGCGTATTACCGCAGCGAGCGCGCAAAAGCGTTCCCATCCCCGTCCGTCCGTCCGACCGTTTTGCGGGCGTGTAACCGCCGCCGCGGCGGACGGACGGGTCGCGGGCGGTAGGAGAAATTTATAACCGTAAAGCTTTGAGGTTAGGGGTCGCGAGGGAGCGCGCAGCCCTTACGCCGAGCGTTTAACCGTATTCCATTATCGTCGCACGGTCTGCCGGTTTTATGACTGTATTCGAGGGACGATAAAAGATTCCAGACGTATTAAATACGGTCGACAAAACGGAAACCGGCGGTGGCGGGAGGACGTGTACACGAACTCGAATCGCAGACTACGGTTTTATCGTCTTCACTCCCCGCGCGCGCGCCCCTGCGGTTTTCGGCGCGCGCGGGCCGCGGGGAATCGTAATTTCAGAACGTCGTTTTAACCGTTGAAAGCAAATAAACCGAACGTCGTCATAAGACCTTTTGCGTTTTATCACGTATACGTATAATACTGCCGTCCCTCGTATACCTATTAGATTCCGGACGACGACGCGTACTGTGGGCGGGGGGGGGGGGAATGTCCTCGTTTCGGAACGGACAACGCGTGTATTTGTATTTGTTTTCGACGGTACGGGCCGAGCCCAATTTGTTGCGCACGGCCGGATTAAGCCCGACCATAGCCCCCTGTAGACACGTATCTGTTAATATTTCCATATCGTTTTCCGCTGTTAAGCCGTCTAAACGATACGCCTATACATCCGCGACCGATACTTCAGCTGTAAAATTATTTTATAACTTGTAAGTGATACAAAATTTAAAATTCAAAACTATTATATCGTGTTACTTAATCCATTTCAACATGCGTGATTTCGGTATGCTATTTATAATAATAAAATAGCCCCGCGGTTACTCGGAATCCAACAGGATATTATGATTAAAAAATTACGCCTATGCAGACGTGTGTAGCCGCTAATGTTGAACGTTAGACGGCGACGTCGACTTTTCGTCCAACAAAACCGATTTCGTGCTGTCGTTTTTTTTTATGTCGGACGCCCGAACCTTAAGAGGACGGTTATACCCGCAACCGCTGTCTCGGTCCAACCAACATTCATAGGCAGTGCTTACGCAAAACAAGTAAAACCGGTTTAATTTTGATTTTAGAGTAAAAGTACCTATTATGAAATTTATAGAGAACAGAATTTTGGAGGGAACGTCATAGGGTTTTTGTATTATTCAATATATACAGCTCGATATGAAAGATACAAAAACCTTTATTTATTTCTTTTTTTTTTTTTTTTTTTTTCGAATAACTACATTTTTTAATAGTTCATAATTCAAAAAAACGCCGATGACATTCCCTCCAAAATACTGTTCTCTATACATTTCATAACAGATACATTTACTCTAGAATCAGAATTAAGCAGCTAGTTTTACTTATTCTGCGTAAGTATTGTTTTTGTATGTTACCCGGTAGTTGGACCCAGACAATAGATGCGGGTATAACGTCATCTTAAAGACCAAGAACTACGTCTGTGTTTGCGCGCAATGAATGGCGTAGCTGGCGGACATAATATCTCTTCGAGATACTAACACGGTTTTAAATTTTTTTTTTTTTTTTTTCGTCCAAACGTTTATATTACTTGATCCGGCCTGCCCGGAAAATATGTCCAGCTGTTCTTTCTGTTTGCACGCCGGTTTTTTTCCCCGGTATTTTAATCCCGGGTAAAAATTAAAATATAGAAAAAACCGACGTTTAAAAACGCAGACGATGTTCTTGCCTTTAAGTTTGACGATGATTCGCTATAATTTTAAAACTAACTTCGTAAAACCGGTTCCACTGAACGTAAAGAGGACATAATCCAGTTTCGACATTGGCCTTAACAAATATTCAAACAATACTTTTGCCGGATCGGGATTGTTTTTTTTTTTCTTATCAATCGTTTTTAAAAGTCTCCACCTACTGCAGAATTAGACGAACCGCGTCTCTCGTGATAAACGGCGGAAATTAACATTTTTAAATTCGAATTTAACAATTGCATACGAGTTTTTTTATTGGAGGGGGGGGGGTAAATTAACTTTTCTGTGAAATATATAATGATTTAGTATAATGTTCTATAGCCTAATGTGAATTGTATTATTATTATTATTTTTTTATTTTTTCATAGACCGATGAAAAATCGCTTAAGGATGAAAAACGAGACAAGCAACACGTTATGGGTCAATTGTGGCTCCGTTCGGAAGTGGACAATTTGGAGTATAAAATGAAATACTCTTCGAAGAAACAGAAATTGCCCACTTGCATTGTAGTTGACACGGACGCGATGATTAATTATTCTTTGCTGGTCAAGAAACTCGTCAGCAGCGCCAAGTTCATTGTAGTGGTTCCTGCGATCGGTACATTTTACAATAATCGATTGATATTATAATTGTTAGCCGAATCAAACAGATGGTTAAAGTATTTCGACGGGTTTTGTTCTTTCAGTTATATCTGCCCTGGACGAACAAAAGAAACTGAGCAAGGAGGTCAGACTGACCATACGTTGGTTAGAGTTTCAGTTACAAAGAGGAAATTGTAATTTAAAATCCCAAGGCATTCAAGAATCGAGGCCTATCAAAATGGATTATATACCGAAATTCAACAAAGAAATTTTGTAAGTATCATTTTCATATTGATAAAAAAAAAATAGTCTAATTAAATTCGTAAATTACGTTTTTTGTTTATGTTTTTTGCGCATTTAGTCATTTCAAACACATATTGGAATGTTGTAACTATTTTTCCGACGAATACGGTGAAAATTCCGGACTCGTAACGCTCATAACGGGCTCGGATAATCTATTGGATTCCGCGGACCTTATGCAAATGGCTAAATCAATTAGTGAGTAATATTTCTATTCTTTTTTTTCATGAAAAAATGAACACGTTCAATTTTCGTTACATTTGATAACAATATGTATTATTTATATTATTATTATAAATGTATTAAATTATATTTGTTTTTTTTTTTTTTTTTTCAGAGATTAATGTTGAACACATTAAGACTTTCCAGTTGCAATTCAAAATGACAATGGCAAACGGATGATTTGTGGATCTCGCGGTTTATAATATTGATCGTTTATTGTATTATTCACTCGACGGCTGCCCGGTATTATATATCAAAGACGAGAAATCAATAACATCGTCATACACATGTGCCGCGTGTGCCGTTTCGAATACGACGTGGTACCACCAGATTGTCGGCGAAAACTAAATCTATCGTTGTCATCTGCCCTACACCCCCCCTCCCCATCTTTTTTTTTTAATTCTACGTCTATTATGATTATATTAAAAAATCGAGATTAAATCCAATAAAAAAAAAAAATCCCCTCGAGAGTATTAAGTATTATTATATTGATACTCTTTAAACGTTTATCGACCGCTACTCTTAAAAAAACAAAAATTTAAGGGTCTCCGACGAGGAATATAAAAAAATAACATTACGCGATCGTTGTTATACGACGACGACCGTTTTTGCGAATGACGACAATAATAACAAGAATCCAGTCTATCGTGTGTTGTGACGCGCGAAATTCGCGTCTTTTAACTTTTTTTTTTTTTTTTTTCATGAACTCTTTAATATTTTCAAAACGATTATTATTAACAATAATATAAT